ATAATTCCTGCTAATGCAATCTTCAAAAGCGCATGAACTTCACGCTGCTACGTACTTTCGTCCAGGGTCAGAGTGATGGTCGCTTCTTGATCTCCACAACGAAAAATTGTCTGTGAGAAAAAAATGATATGCTCCGGAAGCTCTTTGTCTCAATAGCGTTTCTACACGGTATTTCGCTGAAAATTGACATAAACATTTGAGAATTAGTCATGGCTACATATTTTTGGCCAGCACTGTACATGCAGTGGACGTTCGGGAAGATGGAGTCTCAGATTGTGGAGAGGTCCATTACTGACCAATCAGGATGGGGGTCTTGATTGCAGCTTAATGATGAATTCATTTAAATATCGAAATTTCTTCTATTCATCCGCCGCTCATGTCCTTCTTCGGTTTTGGCAAGAGTAAGGAGCCAGAGCCTTCTATATCCTCCTCGGATTCGTATGCATACGAAGAACCAAATTATGACTACAGTGCACCTGCAGTGTCATCATCATTCGACTCGCAATCTTCCACGCCTTCGTCAAATCTTGGCGGTGGTACGTCGTCGGGCGCCGCAGAAATGCAGCAATTGATTATGGAAGAGCAACAGCGCGCTTTGATCCAGCAAGCCATTTCGAAAATTACAGCGCTCGCCTGGGACAAATGTAGTGCGAGTAAGCCCGACTCTGAGCTTTCATACAAGGAGAAGGACTGCATTAAAAATGTGACACTCGCCTATTTGGACACGAGCATGTTTGTGGTGCACCGCCTTAACAAGTCCGGCAGCGCCTGAACGGATTTTAAAAGAATTAGCTGTAGCACATTATATTAAGTGCAGTAATGAACGCTCGACAACAGCACTGATATACGCTCGAGACACGAACAGTGTGCGCCTGGTTTGCAAATGTGCCCTGTCGGATCAACATTACGAGCTCGAATATACATCCTGTCTCTTGCATTTTGTCTTTCTTCAATGTCTGCTAGTTACCCTCTTTATCTGGACGTGCGAGATTGACCGCGACTTCTGTAAATAAAAAGAGGCACATTTTTGTATGGTCCTACATCGTGACGTTCATCGTAAGTAAGGTCACGAATACCCCATGTGTTACATATAATGCGCACGTCCTTGGAGGACTGATCTAAAAGCTTGATGAACTTTGGTCTAAGTTGGTCGAGCGCGTCGGGCAGCAGATACGTGACAATGACCGTAGCTTCGGACAGATCCTCCTCCAGCAGGTCACCATGCGATACACTCACGAGCTGTTGTAAATTATTTGCTGCAATTAGCTCGCGAAAGCGCATTATCAAGAATTCTTCAATCTCCACGCCACGAGCGCGTGCACCGTAGCGTTTGGCAGCTTCAATACAAATTCGGCCGTCACCGCAGCCCAAGTCAAATAGGACCTGAAGCATTGATAAAGGATTGTAATAAAAGTCAGTGAGAAGGCGAACACTTTGATTGCAGTGACTGGACGCACGTCAGCAGGGGTTACACGAGCAAACTCAACAATTTTAGACACAATATCGTGGTCACTCTGGCAAGGTGGTGCGAGTGAGTCACCCTCTAACCACATCAATGCCCCAGGGTTTTGCTGCTCCTCGTCCGAGTCATCGTTAAAGACCATGGGCTTCTGATTTGTGTGATGTATATAACTGTCAATTTATTTGCATTAAGTTTCGATTTAAGTAAACATGCTACCTCGTACTCGCCCACTTTCCTGCAGTTGGCGCTGGTGGGGTCTCCAGCGGCAGCGCGGCAGACGAAAAGAGCGATATTTGTTGCAAGTGGCCTACAGAATTACGGCGTGCTCGAGTCAATTGATACAAAGAGGTTCGCAGGTCGTCTTCTTCAGCGCTAATTTGAGCAAGTGCCAGCTTTAACTCAACGCACCGGCGCTCCGCCCGACGCTTGGCATGACGTCGCTCTTCTTGTTCAGCTTTTGCTGTGGCAGCTGCTACTTTCGAATCTGCTAGCTCTTTGTGAAGACGTTGAACATCCTTTTCAGTGTAACTTAGTGATAAAGTCGCAGTCGGGGAATCGCTACTGCTGTTGCCACTTTCGTCACCGCTTCGATGTAGCAGCAATTTGCGCAAGGCTGAAGCAACCCGCACTTTTCTCTGCTCTTCAGCTTGAAGCTTTTGACGTTCTAGCTGCTTTGCCTTGAAAAATAGAGCGTCTTGAATCAGTTTTTCAGTTGTGTAAGTCTCTCCAATGGCCAAATCGCGGTCTTGCAGCAGCTTCATGATCCGTCGCTCCAAAAGAGCTATGTATTTAAAAGTTTCGTTGCGCTCGTCATGATAAGCCACTAGCTCTTCACCCAGCATCTCTAAGTTTCTCCTAGCATAGGACAGCTGATCCCATGCTGTTTCATACTCACTTTCAGCTTCGGCTAGCGCAAGTCGAGCATCGCATGCCTCATTAAACGATTGCCGGCCTTTTGGTGTCGTGTCAGGAGTATCAGCGTCATGCACGTAATCAGCACCATCGTCGACCACAGAACCTGACAAAAACTGTCCAGGCAGAGAGGACAAGTCCGTTGTTGTTGCAGACAAAATCCATTGTACGAACGGCTCAAAAGCGGCCAGCGCTTCTGTCGGCGCTCCAGTCGACATCTCCTGTTTAAGTGCACACTTTAAATGTATTTTTTGTCCTTCAAATAGATGTGCAGCCGCGCTATCACAGGAACATTTGTAACGGTATCTACTATCAAAAAGTGGAAGCGTTAAACACAACATCTTGAGGCCGACAACTTTATTTTAGCATCCACCAATTTGATCAGTGAGACTTGTAGCGGTCCAATCCTTGCAATGCTACCCGCTCCTGCTCACCGATTTTGCCAGTGCAATTGTAGTAATCTGCGCTATCTTCGCTATCTTCGCTTGTAATTGTTGCCGAGACATCATCATTACGAAGACTCGTTGCCATCAGTTCATCTTCACCAAAAAAATCAGAACTATCCAGTAAACTGCTTTGATGCTGGCGAAGCAGCTCTTGAATCGCCATTGCTTTGTCACTTAGTCCCAAATTTTTGTACGCTTCAAGCACCGTCCGAAGCATGAACTTGCGCGTTAGAACTCGTCTCCGCTCACCGTCCAAAGACGAGAAATCTTCGAAGAGCATGACAACTTCCTCGTATCGATGCAGCCGGAAATTAGCTGTCATTCCAATTTCTGTCACTGCAATCCCTAGAGGAATGTGCTTGTTTAAACGCAATGCACGCACCATGGTAGACACACGCTCAAGATCGTTGATGAGACCCGATCGATAGTAATATACCACCATCTGCTCTAACGCTGCGTACTTGATTGAAATGCAATTATTTAACGCGTAAACACATAGACTGTCAACCAAATCAGCACGATCAGCGCGAACCGCAGCAATGACAGCTTCACATAGTGCAAATTCATTCCATTTCAACGAGTTAGAAAACTGCAAAAAAAAATTGTGCAGGTCTTCCGCAGATTGAACTCGAAAATGAAACTTTTGGTCATCTTTGGCATCAATAACGCTGTTTATGTGATATACTGGCAGCGGTTTAAGAAAGAGTGCACGCATTAAGGGGTAGATAGCATGGTGACTCACAAGAATTTGGTGCTTGTTCATAATTTTCAAAATTATGCATGCCGCACCGAGACGTTTACAGCGAGAATTAGTTGTTACCAGCACAAGTTGCTTCTTGAAAAGAAACTTAGATACCCTTTGTTTGAGATCGCGGCTAGCTTTGCGTGACGCCATTACATTGCGGTATATCTCCATCACCATTTTGTCTTCGCCAAGATGAGCCAACTGTTGCAAGCAAACGTCAAATCTAAACTCAGTGAAAATCGACATGGGTAAATCTGGTGGGTGGCTGTAGAACTTCATTGCCCGTTCGGATTCGCCACAAGCTGCGGCAGTCATCATAACCATTGGCAACAGCGACAAAGGTACGTTTTCTCCGGGCAACTTGGTGACTATTTCCTCGCAAAGTTGCAGCACACACTCAAAATCAGTGAAAGTCTGGTCATGCAAAAGAGCGTTGAGCGCGTGAAAGTACGAAACTTTTGTCACATGAATACCACGGTGCTGCATTGTATCTAATAATTTTAGAGCACCAGCAGCATCACGCAGATGTCCAAGCGCAACGAAAATCGATTGAGCCAGTCGTGGAGTTAAGACGCTGAGATTATCAGCACTCTGATCTTCTTCTTTGTAACAGAACGAGAATTTGTTGACGACGTCTTGAAATCGTTGCTGGCAGTTAAGCACTAAGGCATAGTGTTCTGAAATAACGGACCAGTGCTTTCGCTGTCCTGCAAACTGTGGAAATTCTTTTTCCCATAGAAAAGCTACGGCCTCGACTTGCTGGTAGTCCTGCTGCTGGCACATAGCGTACAGCATGCGATCCAGCTTGCCCGTTGCTGCCTTGAGTCTCCTCCGTGCTCGCTGATATCTAGACTCTTTCATCACTGCTAAACGACGGTCCATCAGATCACTTCTCATATTTTGCAGACTATCCCGTGCTCTGTTAAGATCAAATTCGGCCGGTGAAGCGCTGGCAATGAGCGATGGAAAGACCCCAGCTTCCGCGTCCGCCGGCAGTATAACTGGCTGCCTTACCACCTTCTTTTTGCCTTCAAACGGCTCCTCGGTTTGAGATTTCAAATCAGCACCAATGAGCGCATTGCAATCACCGCTCACATGCAGTTGTAGATGGGCGTCAAGACTTTGAGACTTGTCTCCAAGTGATCTCAGGTCTTTGCGTACCATCACCCGCGGACCTGTCTTTCTTTTTTCACAAGGTTGAAAAGTTGCATACAACTGAAGAGTTCGGGGTAAATGCTGAGCGGCTGGCAATGAGCGTAACCACGACGATCGCCGCCGCGCCACCTCAGCCAGCATGAAGGTCAGATGACGTGTGTGGCTGTGCTAAATGATTGAAGAGTGCGATCATTGAAGCACATGTGCTACTTTTGTATATTTCGATTCTTATTAGAAGAGTTATGCTCATGCCTCGATCGCGTTGCTTGGCGCTCCTGACGCGGGCGATGCGACACTCGCGAGCAGGAACTACGCATCTTTCATCACATGCGGTCTTCAGTGATTTTAATGCGCATATGATTCATCGAAAATTATCATCCAGGCCTGAAGAGAGCTCAGCCTGCAAGCAGAATCTAAAAAAGTTGCCGTCGTTTGCCATTGCTGGCGCTTTCGAGGGTTTCGAAGACACAGAGCATCCAGATGATCTCGGTCATACAGACGAACACGCAGAAAAATTAAAAGGCACCAATGTCGAATGTGATCGCTCGCTAAGTGAGCATTTTCGTCGTGGCATTGAGAAAAAAAAACGTTGGATGCAGTCGCTAGCCAAACAAAAGCTTTACACGACCATCATCAAAAGTGTGGCTGACTGCTACGCGCCTCTATATTCTGTCATGGGACTCGAGGGAAAGTGTCCGTTGTTGCTAATATCAAAAAGTGAGTCTAAGAGGGAGCACGACCATGAGACGGAGTTTCGACCTTTGCGCTTCGATGACACGCTGACAAAATATACGGAGCAGGAAGCTCTGGCCTTGTTGGTTACTTCAAAGCAGCCTGCGCTGGCACTCGCTATCGTTGAGCATCGAAATAAACTTTCTGAAGAGCTTGCAAGACGGTTGAAGGCAGGAATAGGCGTCGTGCTTCCAGGGTCAAATGTTATGGAAGATAGAAGCATTGTCACGTTAAGCAGCCACCTCCGCATGTTTTATTCGTGGGGGATGAGTGCGTGTGCTATGTGTGGGCCGGAATATTACCCTAAATTGTTTGACATGTACAAGCGGGCACAAGAAGCAGGAGTATACGTCACGGCGAACATGAATGTTCAGTACCTATCGGTGTTGATCGCACAAAAACGCTTTGATCAAGTGTTTGATTTTTATGAATCGGTCAATCATAATAATTTACCAATCTCGGTATATTTCTATAGACAACTGATCCTCACAGTCTCTCTGACGCACAAGGTTGATGCCTTGGACGCAATTCTGAAAGAAATGCGGGTCAAGGGATTCAAATTGCGTACCATTGATTATCTGCGTGCCATTTGTACATTTGACACTGATTACTTTCTTCGGCCAAAAGCAAAGCATAAGATGAGCAACCGAAATCTTGGTGAATGTAAAAATGAGGAAGCTGGTTTGATGTTAACGACACCACGAGATTCATACGACATGTGCCGGAAACGGATTCAGGAGCAAGAGTATAATCCGGAGCGCATGGAAAAGTCTGTTAAGGTTGCTCAGAGCGTCCTTGCATTATTTGATGCGATGATGGAGATTGATGGACTTAAACCGCGGGAGCAACATCTGTTTACACGCGTTATTACAGCGGCTGTGTACGCACACGAATGTGAAAGGGTTCCTGAACTATTGTCCCTTCATGCTAAATTTGTAAATGCACCTCTTCATCATACAAGTGTCCGCATGGCTGTGAATGCATTCTTGTTGATGGAGAATCCCGCGGATGCATGGGATCTCATCAAGGCGACAAAATCACATATCGGTTCCCACCGGTTTGCACTCATGGCTAACATCTTTAAATATTTGTGCGAAAAGAAAAACTGTGTGGATATTATCGCTTTGATGCGCGATGTGGACAAATCGGACTTGCAAAATGTGTTCACTCTTTCCTTGATAAAAAAGTTGGTCCCTACACTTTGCAGTAGCCCAGAGAGTGTTGGAGATGAGAAGTTACTGACATTCATGGCACAATTCGATGATGTCTTTCGTTTGTCTACGAGTGAGCACCATTTGGGTGTATTTCTTCGTGAATGCTGTCACAATAGACGATTCGCGGGTGTAAAAATTGTTTTGAAGAAGTGGGTGGCTTCAAGCAAAAAACATCCGCTTCGTGGAGCAGTGGGTCTTAAACTCTTGAAAACGTTTGAGGATGAGAATGATTGGACGACGATGGCTGAAATTTATGAGTTGATTGATATCTCGAGGGCAAAAAACGAAGGTCACCGTAAAGCTATCATTGAGTCTGTTTCACGAGCTTACGAAGCTCTTGGACAAACTGAATGTGCTAGACAAGCGCAGCAAGCACTAATCGTGGCTTATGAGGGTCAGAAACAAGAGCAAAAAATTGTTGATCGGTGAAGCAGCAGAAGAAAAGTAAGTCATGCATCCGGAAAATGCAAATACTACCGAAAATGTTCTGGAAGACCGAAATGTCAGACAGATGTATTTTTGTTAAATAGTTTCTGTTTCTGGGCCTAACATTCTCTGAAGCTACGTTTTCGTGAACAAAACTTAAAGTCTTTTTATCAATTTTTTTTATCTGAAAAGTGGCGCAATTAAATAGGCTGTGAATTCTCATAGGTGTCGATTTAGATTACTCTTGTCGTATTTTAGATCCCAGACGCCGCGGCGATATGCGTATCTAAACTGTTCTTGGCTGACTGCGTTTTGCAAGAAGTTCCATTGCACCCCACACAAAAACAACCTCTTTGTGAGGTTATGAAGCCACCTCCTTTAAATATACGGTTCACGCAACCATAGAAAGGATGCTGGCTGTTTTTTTTGACCACCAAATACCCACAATGACCACCACCACATCTGACTTATCAACAACGTGTATCGTTCGTATTATCATGATGCGAGTGTGTGGGTGTGCTTTCTTAATGGTTGCATGCACAGCGTCTGCATTGGCCTCCACCTTCGACGATAGGAGTCTCACGATCGATGCAGCACCGAATAAGCCCCAAAAAGTTGAGACCGATCAAGCAGGCGACGATTACGAGAATCTTAACGATGTGCTAGCTGCTGCCATGGCCTCATCCTCGAGCGGTCTTGATATCATTAATAATCCCGACAAAAGATTGCACAATAGTGAGTTTGACATCGAGCCGCAACCAACCCGAGCCCCCACGGAAGCTCCAGCTGTGGAGTCTGACTCGACTAGCCAAAGTGACAGCTTAAACACGAGCAGTGCCCCTCCCACCAGTCCCTCAGAGCCAAATGTCAGCTTTGGTAACATTGTCTCCACTGTGGCACCCAGATCTCTCGCTATCATTTCCGCCGTCATCTTCTATGCGCTGTAAGCGAACATCGAGTGATAGTTCTCAACTTGCGCATCATTTATGCTTGATTGCAGCGTCACTTTTAAAAAACGCACCTTAATATAAGTGTCCTGATCTGATTAAATTAGTACAATTCGACACTATACTCAGTAGCCGCTTGAATAATTTGGAAAGTCTGTGGTAGGTGATATTGACGGATTTTTACGAATG